GGGGGCGGGGCCTCTGGGTCTTCCCGGGTGGTTGGACGAGTCGAGCGCCAGTCTGGGGCGCCGGCGGGGTGGCTTCGGGACTTGGTGGGAGCCAGGGGGTGGAGGAGCCGGCGCTGCGTGGCAAGTCCATCTCTGATAGAAAGACGTGCAAAACGTTCTCGTTTTTTGCCAAGCGAATGTTGGAAGGGTAATGACTTCGCGCTCCAGGGCTCACTGTAAGCCAAACCTGCCAAGGTGCCCTTGAATCTTGCTCATGAAATAACACACTGCAAGAAAACCTGCTAATTGTTTTTTTTTTTTCCTGAAAACTTGCGACTGGAAAGCTGGTGTGAGTTAGACAAACATTCTTTGTCATCGGAATTCTTTTACGCTACAAGTAGTGATGTAGCCACAAGCCCAGAAATACTGACAGCCTCCAGAACTCTGAAAAGATAGGCGCCTCTAGAGCCTCTTCGGGTGTGTCGGGTAGGGGACATACTGATTTCAAACTGCAGACTTCCGGAACTGAAAGAGAATAAATGTGTTTTGAGCTGCAAAGTTTGATAACTTATTACAGTAGCCGTAAGAATCAAATACAGAAAGAATTACCAATAAACTCAATGAAAAAAAAATACAGGAACATATCTGGAAAAAACAATTGTTAATCCAAGTGTTAAAGGAAATTTAGGCCAATCCTGGGGTAGATTCTGTGCTTTTGAGGGGGTGGGGGGGAGCCAGATAGCAAACTCAGGACCTTGAGCTTGTGAGGCAGGGGGCAGCACCACTGAACTAAATCCCCAGCCCTAGAATTTGTGCTTTAAGGTAAAATCAGTCTTGGAGTCAACAACGGTATGGGTGAACTTGATAGGGAATGGCTCAAAGAACTAGACTTCCCGTTCCTCTTTAGCCAAGAGCTGCAAAAACGTGAGGACTCCTCACTGAGTACATAACTCAATAGATTCCTGGCTGAAGAGGACTGAGGCATGATATGGCGCAAATTCATATAGTTCTTCTGTGTCAAAATAATCATCTACACACACGCGCGCGCACACACACGGAATTATATAGGAGAAATTAAGCTAACTGAACATGTAATACAGTGCCAAGCTGGGAAAGGTGCTATAGAAAGGTAATGTACTGTAATAGTTTCTGTAACAGGAATTATAAAGTTGAGCTATGGACCATTTTTAATGTCTATGAGTCCTACTTTCTGAATATCCCTACTTTTCTCTCCCTGCTCTGCTATTTTTGTATATTAAGACCAACTTCATAGGCTCCAGTATGACTGTCAAGAGACATCACTTGTTGAACTTTTTTTATAAAATGCCTAGGTTTGAGGGGTCAGATAATTCTTACTTTTCACTTGGGAAGGAGGAGAATTATGAATGGCTTTTGTACATTTTTTTGGTTAATTTGTTCTTCATTCTTTCACCACTGGAAAAAAATACGTATTGAGATTTTACTATGTGCTGGTCTCTATGCTACAAATATCTCTATCCTCATGGAGCTTACGATCTAATGGAAGCCATGCATAACTCAGACAATTCCAACACAATATGGTGTAGGGAACAGTTGCACAGAACATGTATTTCTGTGTAGAACTGTGGAGCCACATAGGAATAGCAGCCAACGCAGCCATTCAAGGAGAACGTAAGTCAGAACAAATGAATACTCTTCACCATCCTCAATTTTCTTAACATTTCAGCAGATTTGACTCAACTGACCACTTTCTTTCCTGACATATGTTCTCCTATTGGCCTCTAAATTATTTTGATCTTTAATTTCCTCCTACTTCTCTGCTTCCTTTACATATATTTGCTGGCCTCTTCAACCATTCTCAGCCTCTAAATGTCGGGGTCTTAAGTCTCTCCAGTAAATTCTTGACCTGAATGATTTCATCTAATCTTATACTTTAAAATATCCTCTATATGCTAACTCCTACATTTATTTCTTTAACTCCAGCTCTCTTTCCTGAGCACCAGATATATATGGGCAACTGGCTAATTAATATCTTCATTTAGGTGTCAAATAGGTATCTCAAACATGATATGCTTAAAATTCCTTTCCGGTTTCTTTACAAAAGCTGTTTCCTTCTGGTTTTCTCACCTCAAAATAGTTCTGTAGTGAGTATAGTTGCTGAACATTAAAAACCTAGCCAAAGGTGGGGGATTTAGCTCAGTGGCATTGCGCCTGCCTTGCAAGCACAAGGTCCTGAGTTCAACCCTCTATACCACAAACAACAACCGCAAAACAAAAAACAAAAAAACAAAACACCTAGCTAAGAGTGGGACATTTAGCTCAGTGGTTCCACCACCTGCCTTGCAAGTGCAAAGATCCAAGATCAATCCCCAGTACCAACAATAGCAACAATGAAAAACCTAGCCAACATCTTTTTCTCCTTATTCCCATGCACTTTCAATCCCCTACCATGTTCAGTCAATTCCACCTCCACAATAGATTTTTAATTCATCAACTCTCCATTTTCACCACCACTCTTGTCTAAGCCATGGTGAACTTCTCCCAGGGCAACTAAAATACCCTCGATTTTTGCCCTACTGCCTACTGAAAATTCTCCAAGCAGCAAGCAGAGATAGATATTTAAACCAACCAAACCTCTCACTTCTTACGATTGCTTACGGATTCCCCACGTAACCAAGGATGTTCCCCTACGCTCTACCTTCATCGCATACGAAACTCCCCTTCTACCACTGTGTGCCGGCCTGCCACGCCTCCATTCTGTTCCTTTATGAGCTTAGTTCTTCCCCATCTTTGGGATCTCGAGTGTGGTTCCTTCCCCCTGGTATGTTCTATCTTACGTATTTTTCATCGCTAATTCGGTCTCAGTGTTCCTCACTTGTTACCCTGAGTATCACTTTCTCAATAAGGCTACTCTCAGTGTACTTTCCAAAGAAATCTAACTTTCCTCACACTTTTTATCACATTCCTAATTTGTTAGATATTTTGACATCTGGTAAACTGTTGAATCTTCAGGGCCTAATATTATGCCCAGCATATGAGGTATGATTGAAATATATGGTGAACATTTAAACCTTTAAAAGAAAAGAGGACTATAGTTAAAGACACACTGCCATTAATTCCTCTCAAAACATTCACCTTTGCTATGAATACACTTATCCTGTCATTTTTGCCAATTTCTGAAGCAGTTCTGGAAGTCCTTTGTGTCTTGACAAAGTTTGAGAAAAGTACAGCAAATACAGCCAAGTGTTGTCCAGTGGAAAGGCAGGCTCCCAAAACTGTTATGGAGGCTTCTTATTCACGGTGTTCACTGGATCTGCCGCTGTGTGACTTCTGACTCTTCCCCAAAGTCAAAATGTTTTGAATCAATTCAGGACGACAAAGTGGCCACCACAGGGTACCTAAAGCCACTCGTGAAAGAGGACGTCCAGAATTGCTTCGGGAAGTGGCAAGAGTGATGGGGTCAGTGTGTTCAAAGGGAGGGGAAGTATTTTGAGGAGGAGGAGTGGTAATATGTTTTCTACTGTAATACATGAAAAATTTTAGACATTCACCATATTTTTATTACACCTTAGATAATGGTCACTGAAGTATTTCATTGCAAGAATTGAGGTAGGATCATACTTTTTTTTGATAGTTTAACCTATGGCTATTTCCCCTTAATATTTCTTTCTCCGGAGGAGGAGAGCTGAGACGGTCTTGCTGAGCAATTCAGGTTGGCCTTGAACTCATTATATAGCCAAGTTGCCTCAGCCTCTGGAGTTCTGGGATTAGAGGTTTCCACTACCATGCCTGGCTCTCCCCCTAATATTTCTGTGAGTCATAGGATTACCTATGCCTCAAAGGAGATTGTGACATTAGAACACAGTAGAATCAGATGTTAGGTTTTGGATTTTGATTTTCAAAAGTCAGAGATAACTATGTTTTAAGTTTTAAATAAAACCCACAAAACATTGATTTGATAGGCTACAACAACAGACATACTCATCGCTTGACTAATGGATATTAGTCAAGGAAAAGCATGGGAAAGTATGAGTTAAACACTGGTGAATGTTCCTGTGGCAGGTACTTTTCTCAAGCAGAGAAGATTAAGTTCCCTAGGGAGCATCTCCAATGTTTGGTGACACTGGCATTTAGTGGGAAGAGACTAGGGGTACAACTGAGGAGTCTACTATAACACAAAAGACTCCCCATGTAACAAAGAATTATTAATCCCAAAATGTCACTGAGGCCAAGCTGAGAAGCCCTGCTTCAGCATAGTTATAAGTATGCATATTTTTGCAGCTCACCCAAATTATAAATCTCCTGGATGTATTAGATTATAAAGACAAATAGGAGGGCAGAACAAGTAGTTAAGAAAACGATAAATTCAAAAGTTTAAGAAACTACCATCAACTTTGTTATCATTACCTATGTATGTCTTTCATATAGCTATTTAAGCATTTTTCGCAGCTCCATTTCTCCATGCAGAATCATCTGGTGTCCACAAAGCACTTTTTTTGTGTGTGTACCGGGGATTGAACTCAGGACCTTGTGCTTATGAGGTAGGCGGTGGAACCACTGAGTTAAATCCCCAGCTCACAAAGTACTTCTAATCCTTCACTTCAAATGAACATTGATTCATTTTAGCAATTGTTACAGTGAGTATATTCTTATTCTAATTAAGTTTCCCTGTAGGGACAAAAGGAGAATTCAAAAAAAACACTTTTATAATCAGGAAAATTTTAGTACTTAAAAGTACACTTTCTGTTTTGCTTTTCTACAAATACAAGAAGTTTGGGTCAATATAGGATGATATGCAATCATTTGGAAAAGAAAAACATGGAGTCTTATTAGGAAATACAGTGGAGGGGACAATAAGAATAACAGAAAGAAGGGAGATAGATAAATCAAGAAAAACACAATGAAAGATTCCTGGAGCTGCCAGAGTGGAGGGAGCTGAAATTCAGAGCTTTGCAGAAAAGCAGGGATTTAAATATAGTCTGATATGTTTTCCTCTGGCAGGGGTGGGGGTAGAACTGTGTCTGTCACATATATGTATCTGCATATTCTGGAAAGTAATGGTCTACTGATATGTATTAATTGACACAAAGGAAGGAATGAAGCCCATCAAATACTATACATTGGACATGAGCTTTAAGAAACGCTACTGAAGCATTTTCCATTTGCAGCACCTCATAGGAGGAACAATAGAAACAATAATAGGTATTAACTAGTGTGAGCATTTTATGACAGAATTTCTTTTTTTTTTTTTAACTAGGAAAAATTTATGGAGGGAAAGAAAGCTTCTGTCTAAGAGAGACAGAAGAGGGGCCAGGGATTTAGCTCAGTGACTTTGCCGCCTGCCTTGCAAGCACAAGGTCCTGAGTTCAATCCCCGATACCAAAAGGAAGAAGGAAACAAACAAACAAAAAAAGACAATGCGTTAAAAGAGACAGAAGGGGGACCTGAAAGCAGGTTGCCCACCCATCCCACTTTTCGGAGATATTTTATACAGCAAAGTCAGGTGGTGAGGCGGGTACAGAGTAGGACGAAACTGTAAGACCCAATGGAAAATTACAAGGTGGGCATGAGGTGGAACACAACCATGACCACCAATAAGATTACAAGTACGGTTACCCAGGTAATATTAATGGGGAAGCGAGTCATGTAGCAAGCGTACAAGGATTTTTCAGTGAGAGTGAAGGTACAGGATCCCAGTAATGAATGTAACTGTATTGTAGACCTAGATTGTACCAATAAACTCAATAAAAAAGAGTTCTAGCTATGCTATATTCCAACAGATTTAATGTTCCAGTTTTAATATTTAGGTTTTTGTTCGGTTTTGATTTTAGTTTGGTGCATGGTGCATAGGTCTACTTTTAATTTTGACATGCAGAAAGTCACTTTTTCGAGCACCACTTACTAAAGAGATTGTCTTCCGGTGAAGGTGTTTGCCTTCTTTGTCAAAGAAAAAGTGGCCGATTGTGTTTGGATTTGTTTTGGCATCTTCTAATCTTTTCCACTGATGCTCATTTCTTTTATTTTACCAGTATAGTGCTGTTTTATTATTAGCTTTCAAGTTAGAGATTGTGATGTTGCTTGCCTTGCCTTTGTTGGTTAAAATTGTATTATTTTAGGTCTCTTCTATTTGCAAATGAATTTTAGGAACACTTTGTCCAGTTCTATAAAGTATGCCATTGGTATTTTGATTGGAATTGCATTAAATCTGTATAACAATTTTAGGACTATGACCATCTTTACTTTATTGGTTCTTCCTACTCATGAACAAAGGATATCTTCCATTTATTTGACATCCTTTTTCAGAGTTCTGTAGCTTTCGATGTAAAGATTGTTTGCTTTCTTTGTAAGATTAATTCCTATTTCATTTTTAAAGCTATAATAAATGATGCTGTTTCCCTAAAAAAAAAAAAGAGTGGTGACTTAATTTCTTTTATTGGCTCAGCCATTTCACAATCTTTGTTGAGTATCAGGCACAACGGTTCTGCCTCTGTGGAGCTCATGTTCTCTTGCGGAGGCAGCAAGGGAACAATGACGTCAGGGATAGTGATTGTGGTGGATGCCAACACAGTACTATCAATCAGAAGCTAGTCCTGTACTCAGGTAACCACTCTTCTTTAGCAGCCCAGATGCCTACAGTTTTTCATTCATTTGAATCTCATCTCCCTGAGGTTGTTCCTAGCGTTCAAAAGCCAGGATTTCTTTACTTTGAAGAGTTAAAATGCTTCTCACAGGCAAACAAAACTAAGCTGTAATTATAAGAGGTGACCACCAGAGGGCAGCAATAGCTCACAGAAACTTAATAGGCGGGTCAGAGTCCATTCAAGGTTGTATAATTTATTTTATTTATTATTATTTTTTTTAATTTTTAATTTTTATTTTTGGTACTGGGATCGAACTCGGGTGCTTGCGCTTGAGAGGCAGGGGGCCGAACCACTGAGCTAAATCCCCGGCAAGGCTGTATAATTTAAATATCCTCTACAATGAAAAGGAAACCATCCTAAAGAGATATGAGGGGTGAAAGAAAATACAATTCACACGCTATTTATGCCTAAGATCACAGATACTAATAACTAAAGTGTTTCGTAAAACTATGTATGTATTTTTCTCAAAGAAAGAATTTAAATCAGATATTTGGATTCTCCTATCTTACCAGTTTCCACTAAAAATGTGTATCTCAAGAGCTACAAAAGGAAGAAAAAATGATGCCAGAAATGTTATTTGATTGTAAATAAGTATTATATTTGCACTTGTAAATTGTTTTAAACTAACCAGAGCACAAAGCCTATCTAGGTATATCAGATGAAAATGCGTGTTTTCAATGATTGACAACAGAGCTTTATATCAGCACTTTCCAAATGCTGAAAAAGGATCAATTCAGAACGTCAACAGTCTCATGAGTCAACTCTAGTCTGTTGTAGGCCCTTTTTCAGTAGTTATATGGAACTGGAAATTTTAAGGAGATTTTTCATTTAAAATAGCTATAATTTCCTTTTGTTAAGGAATCAGGAGGGCCGAGAATTTATCTCAGTGATTCCCCCTCCTGCTTCGCAAGCGGCAAGGTCCTGAGTTCAATCCCGTTAACAGAAAAAAGAAAAAAAAAAAAAAGGAAAGAAATAATGGTAGAAAGCCTCTTATAGAACCAATTTGCATTGGGCGGGGGATTTGGCCCAGTGGTTTCTCTGTCTGCCTTGCAAACACATTCAT